CGAGGCTTGCCGAGGATATTTTTACTTTTATCAACGAGTGTTGATATATTTGATATCAGAAGACACGAGGGTGAGATTCTATTTATCATCCAAAATCATTCTTCATTAGTTTTCAATGAAAAATGTACATCTCTGAACACAGTACTGCCATTAGATTTGCAGTGCAGCGATGTCATAGCATTGTGACGTCATCAAGTTCATGACGTCATAGCATTGTCAGGGCATTGTGCAAAATCTACTGTCAAAACGATATCTCCTAGGAGATATCGTCTGATCTCACACAAGCGATATCTCCTGTGGAACACAGTTTTGGATGATAAATCCTGAGTCAACTGAAACCGTTCAAACGATATGCGGTGAACAACCAAGTTATACATTAACCTTTGAGCAGCTCGTTACCTTATATATAGTGTTTTTTTCAGATCTATGATAGAAGGTAAAGGTTAACTTTATGAAACGTGCTCATTCATAGAGTTTGGAATGTATCAAATAAATGAATGAATAAATGAATGAACGAGACGTTGCTTTGAAAAACTTGAAATGCTCGCTGAAGCATATACGCAGAGAATCAATGTTCCCGTACGCTCTCGAAATTGATCGCCAAAACGCAGAAACAGGCAAAGTAACGCGTTCGGTTTTACCTCATAACGCCTTAGCAGTTGCGTTCGAGCGAATGTTTTACGGTTCATGGTCTATGAAATGGAATTGTAATGCATCAATAACATCGCATCATAGTAAAGTACAACACCTTTAAGTGTGATGGCACATTTTGTCCACCCATGTAACACTTGTTACTCAATGGAACACAATAAATGAATGAAACTTACCTAAAGTTGAACATAACAGGGTTTGCATATGCACTCCGTTATCGTCTTTAGACAGCTCATGTTCATTTTTTTCAAAAATGGTAGCGTTAACACCTGTAGTTCCACCATACACTTGATATTTAACACTGTCTCTTCCTAGTTGTTTCCTTAAATATTTCCAGATTGTCCTCTCCTCTCTTCCTCTTCACTATCTTCTCTTTCTTTCTCCTTTGCTTAATTGTTTTCTCTTCCATTGTCTTCTGTTCTTTCTTAATTGCTTTCCCTCTCTGTCTTATCTCTTTCAGTCTTTTCAGTTTCTGTTCTCTCTTGAACTTTTCGCAATAGGATTTAATTATCGGTTGATTTTCTAGTATCTCTATTTGACGATCCGACAAAGTAGGAGTCTGTTTTTTGCTAAATGTTTGGTTTACTTTCCTTAATCCTAGAACAATATATAACAAGTTTTATGGATAACAACTTCTTTATTTTCGTGAGTGCGACGTTTCGATACAGATTCTTGTACCGTTGTCAAGCAAGAGTGATACATGAAGTGTAGGAGCTGCATATATATACTGTATATAACAATGAAACAACATAATAGACAAAGGAAACAACATAATTGCCATGATTGGCTAAGCAGTAAGCTGATGAAGCCAGTAAGTACATAACGGATAGTGAATGGAAGCCAGAGATGTAGTTACAATGAGATGTTTATACAATGGATGCGATGTTTATACAATAGACTGGGCTTGGTGGAGGAGTGGATCATAAGCAGATGGAATGACCACATCAAAGCCAACCCCAATCATCAAATAGAGTGGTCCGACATCACCATTCTCGCCAACAACCAAACGGACTTCACTAAACGCAAGCTCACAGAAGCCATTCACATCAAACGCCACAAGCCTACCATCAACCGTGACCAAGGATACTTCATTCCATCTGCTTATGATCCACTCCTCCACCAAGCCCAGTCTATTGTATAAACATCGCATCCATTGTATAAACATCTCATTGTAACTACATCTCTGGCTTCCATTCACTATCCTTTATGTACTTACTGGCTTCATCAGCTTACTGCTTAGCCAATCATGGCAATTATGTTGTTTCCTTTGTCTATTATGTTGTTTCATTGTTATATACAGTATATATATGCAGCTCCTACACTTCATGTATCACTCTTGCTTGACAACGGTACAAGAATCTGTATCGAAACGTCGCACTCACGAAAATAAAGAAGTTGTTATCCATAAAACTTGTTATATATTGTACGTCTCAACTTCTAAAATGCCACTCAAACAAGTAATCCTAGAACGTTCAAAACATCTTCCATCCCTCCAGCATGAAACTGTTCAAATGTACAGAATATTCATAACACACTCACATCACCTTTGATACAGTATTTACCATTTTGTGGTAAATGTAGGTGAATGAGTTTATGGGCAGAGGGTGGACTTCTTTGCAAAAAGAAAGTCACCTAGGTTAACAAAGTGTGGTCACCGCCCATGACCAAGGTTTTGATATTTGTCATGCCAACGTCAGCAAGACTTGATATCGCTTATGTAAATGTACCTAACTTCTTGAAACGTAGACATTTTCCTTTTTGTCTTGAAGAATACGCCCCACCATGACTTGTAGTTTTCATTGAAATCTATGTCACCATTCTCGTTTTTAAAGCTGAGACTGTGAGATATATAAGATGTTATAACATCATATTGATCAAACGGTATGGCTTATCTAACTATTTCACCTTCTGTTTCGGGATACGATTTCGCTGTAGTTAAAGCAAACCATAGTATATCTTTTTGTTCTTCACATATTTCGTTCGATAATTTGAGAAATACCTTTGGATTTATTTTTTCAAAACTTGTGGAACATCAAAATTATAATTATCCTTTTTCATTGTACGAGACACTTCAATTTTGCCCTTTGCAAAATTGTTCTGTCACTCTAAAAGTAGATTTATTAACATGGGAGATCGAAATTTCGGATGAAAATTTTACTAGAATTTATCTCTCACCAAATGAATTTAAGGATATCTACTTAGGTTTGCTACAGTTTCAATTTGACCAAATTGTTCAATACGTTGTGAATGCTTAGAGGTAAGTACACCTTTAGCAAATGTTCATCTTGTCACGTAAATATGTTATCGTTATATCTGCAAAAGTAAGTTATCTATGCACGATGTTAGTGAACTATATGCCAAAGATATATTGAACTCGCTGTATCGCTAGTTATTTGTGTCTGAAATCAAGCTTAAATTACTGTTGTATGAACTAGATACTCTTATTTAATCATCATGAAATTTTATCAAAAAACTTTGTGCAACATCCATATTTTAGTTTGCAATATTCATCTGTTTGAATGTATTTTGGATTGTGTGTCATACACCTACAGCTTGCTACCTGATGCGGAACCCAGCAGTCACATGGTTAGGTCGGCTAGCGGGCCCTTTAAGGATGTTTCACACCAGTTGACGGGCGAGCCCTTTAACTACAGCTTGCTACCTGGTACGGAACCCAGCAGTCACATGGTTAGGTCGGCTAGCGCACCCTTTAAGGATGTTTCACACCAGTTGACCAGTGAGCCCTTTAAGCAGTAGGTGGTCTGTCTCACACCAGTCGCGCGAGCTCTTTAAGCATCATTTAGTCTGTCTCACTCCAGTCGCGAGGCTCCTTTAACCAGTCTGTCTCACATCCACCGCTCCCTCCCAAACCATAGTATTTTTTCCCAACTACCAAGTCTTTACTAGAATGCTAAAGCCTTCCAATTTAAGTAAGTCTACATTTCCCACCGCCTCCCTGACGCTACAAGAGTGACAGCAGTGATACTGCCCCAGTTGGTGCATGTCTCAGCAAAGTCACACGGATGTCATGAGCACCTGACATTTCTGATCTTAGGTCACGTCAGATACGTGCTTCGCATGATAATGATTTTGCGAACGTGTCTTAATTGTCATTGGTTGAAAATGATTTGTGCGAATGTGCATTAATTACTATTGGATGAAATGATGTTTACGAAACATGCATTAATTGTCATTGTCAACACTCAGTTGGTATAATATATTTAAATAAAAGCGAAGCGAAGTCCTATTCACCATTGTTTGCTAACCATGATCGTTGTAGTGCTGGTGCTTGGTCTGTTGACCACTGGTGCAAACTGTATTTCGCTGTTTAGTGAAATGTGTGAACCAGTGGCAAAATTGCTAAGATGTAGACCCATAAGTGGTCAGCTGTTAGAGCATGTCACAGGCGCAGAATATGGTCTCACCACAGTCATTCAACTTCAAGGCATTACTGATCGACTAAGAATTGATCTAAAAAAATTCCCGAAACTCGAAGTAAGTGTTATTTTATATCAACATTGACATGTGTAGCTGTAATTATTCTAATAGTGTTTGTTTGCAAGCTGCTTTAAACATCGGAGTATTATATCTTGCTCATAACATTAGATTTATGTTATCAATAATAATTAAAAGTAATCATTGATATCTCTTTACAGAAAATCATTGGAGGAAAAGCTTCATGCAACAGTTTGCTCGGTGGTGAAAAGACGATCATTTTCGTCAAGGGAAAACAATGTATCGGTGAGTATTTTCTTTTACTCATTTATTGATTTATTTATTTATTTACATGGTATAAGACGGTTTTATTTCTAACTAGATTTTTTATTCTCTCAAAGTGTGCGAGTTGAGTGTCGCTCACTTTGTGCCTATATTCCTGCTTGCCGTTACTGCTCTGTAAATAATTAAGTCCGTTGCCACAATTCATGACGATCAACAGCATGAGCATCAGGCTGTGCATTTAGGAATCGATCACACACATCAAACAAGTCAGTGAGCGTAAAGCTCAACTCATTCACTTATATTTCTGAACAATGTTTAGTTATGCTTGAAACTAATTTTGTTAGTTACGTTTGAAACTAATTCTTGTTACCATTTCCAGTCCAGATGTCTTCATCAGCCTCGACCACAACGCTCTCTCCGACACCCTCTACCTTTCCTGCAACACCCACTACTCTTCCTTTAACATCTACTGAAAAACCTACTCCAACACCCACTACCTTTCCTGCAACACACACTATCCTTCCTTTAACATCCACTACTCTACCTTCTACTCCAACACCTGCTACCATTCCATCAACACCCACTACCCTTCCTGTAACACCTACTAGTTTTCCTATAGCATCCACTACTCCACCTTCAATACCTACTCCAACACCTGCTACCCTTCCACCAACTACCTTTCCTGTAACACCTACTAGTTTTCCTATAGTATCCTCTCCAACACACACTACCTTTTTTTCCAAACCTACTACCCTCCCCCCCCAGCATTTACCTTCTCCACATCCGTTCAAACATCCACCCACAACATTTCTACAGGTATTATTTTAGGCATATTTTTTGCAAGCATTAGTTTGATCGTTATTTTAATCATTCTTGTCCGTGTTTATAAGAAATGGTGTAAATTTCAAATCAGTGATCAGAATATAAAAAATGGAATTCTTTTTAAACGATTGGAAAGTAAACATAAAGAATCAACGAATATTGAAATGAAAATGTACGAGGAGGAAGAAATATGATTTTAAGTAAACATAAAGAATCAACGAATATTGAAATGAAAATGTACGAGGAGGAAGAAATATGATTTTTTTTTTGTAGTACACCTATTCCTTTCACCCACCCTGCACAGGTCCCTTTGAGAGACACAGCCGAGTTAAGGATGGTGACGATGCTACTGATCTTGTTGACGTTGAAGATGTTGACGCTCGCCATGGTGACAACAACCTCGGTAAGTACCAGTGAGCATCATAACTCATAAGCAACGTGGTGTGAATGTACATACCGAACCAACTTGCTATATCATCACCTTTGAGCTTTTGGAGTGAGTGAGTGAGTGAGTGAGTTAAGGTTTACACCTCACCAAGGAATATTCCAGCTATATGGAGGTGGTCTGTGGACCGCGCAATACGGCGTATTGATCTGCACAGTTGGGAACTGATGACATGTGTCACCCATGAGTTGCTGAAGGCATTCTACCCTGAACCTTCACGCGTCTTTGTATTTGAGCATGTTATGAAACTGTACCCTTGAGTTTTGTATTATATTTTATTTCAGTCCACGTGGTTACTGCGCTGCTGTCACTGGTGGTTCTGTTCATACTTATCGTCGCAGGTGTGGTGTCGAGACGACATATCCTGAGATACATTAACCAGATCCGTTCTTATCTACGTATCCGCCGCCTCAGACGTTATCTGAACAGACCTCACACTTCACCACCAAGTTCACCATCACGTCGAGTCCCTGCCCGCTCTCAGGAGCAAACACGTCATTGCTCTCCATCCAGTCAGTCCTCTCAGACGTACCAGATGCAAGTAGATGGACGTCGAGTTCCTGTCCACTCTCGATCACGTCATGGCTCTCCATCCAGTCAGACTTCCCAACTGCAACAGGAGCAATCACGTCATGGCTCTCCATCCAGTCAGACTTCCCAACTGCAACAGGAGCAATCACGTCATGGCTCTCCACCCAGTCAGACTTCCCAACTGCAACAGGAGCAATCACGTCATGGCTCTCCATCCAGTCAGACTTCCCAACTGCAACAGGAGCAATCACGTCATGGCTCTCCATCCAGTCAGACTTCCCAACTGCAAGAAGTCACTGACCGCTCTCAGGAGGAAACCACTACTACATCACGTGACCACTCTCAGGAGCGCACAAGTGCTAATGGAGCTATTAACCGTTTACGTGAGGTTGTGCAGTCACTTCGGACGATGAGACAACAACGCAAGTTGCAGCGACGAAGGAAGTTAAACAATTAGAACCTTGTATAACCCAATGTGGTTTTGTTTGTGTTACGCTTAGTATTTGACAGTTGTGTTACACTACAAACAGTTTCATGGTTAAACATGTGTTACAGTACATATGTTACACAGTTTATAATCGTTCACGTGTTTCATCCTCACAGTTATCGTTCACACATGACGGTTTGTAACCTGATGTGTTTCATCCTCACAGTTATGCTTACAGTTTATCGTTCACACATGACGGTTTGTAACCTGATGTTTTGCTTACAGTTTATCGTTCACACATGACGGTTTGTAACCTGATGTGTTTTTTTTTTGTTTTTTTTTTAATAAACATATTTTGTTTTATGGTGTGTTTAGACGTCTCCATACACCCTTAACAGGATAGTACATGGTATACACAGTATTTACTTTCCATCGTTCAACATGATATGAGTTGATCAACAAGAAGTTGGTCACTGTACTACACAACCTCATCATAAGCATCCATGTCTACATTTAGGGAACAAGACCACATGATCTTGTTGGTTCATAGACAACAAAATGTATATTATATTTAAATTTTTTTTTTTATTCACAATTACACAAGCGGTAGTTGCATACACTCGCGTCATGTACTGCTCGGACAGTATCGTCTGGGTGAACCTACTGGTTACCACTCTGTAGGTTCTCCATTGGCTCACTCACGTGCACGGACAGCAGATGCAGATGCTGCGATACGGAAAAATGTAAATATAACATCCACCTAAGGGAAATACACAATGCAAATTCACCATCTTTATTCTTCAGTCTATATACTCGCTGGAAATATGTCGTCTCACTCTCATTAAGATCTTTCCCAATAAATTGTGACCACGCCAGTTTAATTCATTCCTAATCCTAGAATCTGATAGAGAGAGCCCAACTCCCCATAATCTATCGTATGGGGATGCCTCTACTAACACCTTAGGGTATGTGTTCAACAACAGAGACTTAAGTTCTTCAGACTGAGTGAATTTGGCATAATTAGCTTTTTCCACCACTTGTGCACTTATCTTATGCCAGATGGTGCGATTAAAGTTCTTCACACGTTTACCTAAATGTTTCTGTTCGGATGGAGATGATGAATTCAAAATACACTCAGCAATAAATGAATCTCCAAAAGTCAAAGCTTTCCGATACATATAATACTGTTCTGCAAAATTAAAGGTTTTCCCATCCACTTCCATCTTTACAAGATAGTGTTGACTGAAATGACTCTTTCTCGAATAGAAGTACACACAGCGTTCATCTTCAACAGTTCCCATATTGCTGAATAAAAACTCACCGCGTGAATAGGGCGTTGGTCTGTTTACCCGGCTTGGTCCTGAATATGGTGGTGGTAGCATCATGGCACCCGGTTGGTTCATGGGTGTTGGAGACGTTGGTCGTCTAGTCAGTGGAATTGGAGCCAGTGGTGGGTGACTGCTTGCATTGTTGACGGGAACCTGTCTTGGAGGCTGAGACGATGCACTGGTTAGTGGATCAACCGCAGGCGGAAGTACTATGTCCAGCTCGGAGATGTCATCAGGCAGGTGGTGCTGCGGTTCAAATTCTTCCACTTTAGTGGTATAGTCTTTTGCCAACCCCATGAGCAGCTTGAACACCTCGGAGGTCATGGATATCGATTTCTTCACCCCTCTGCTGTTCCAATTGGTTAGGTGTGTATATACAACACCATTGAAGTAGTTCACTGAGAGGTAATGTCCCTCTGCAAACTGGTATGTGTTGCTGTCGGCCATCGTCAACGCTCAAGAGTGGAAGCAATGATCTGGTCTTTACGACTCATATTTATATCAACTCTGTTTAATTGCATGATGAACAGATCGTGAGAAATGTTGCCTTTCCCACGCAATCTCAACCATTGAAATCGAGCTCTTGTGTCAAAGAATGACAAAACATTTCGCAGTGTCATCCTTACTTTGGAAATTCTATTCAAAATGTAGACAAAGAAGGTCTTGTTTCAGGACTCCTCTTACCGTGCACGATGTTCAGTTCCCACACTAACCTATCCTTTGAAATCAAGGCTTGTACCAAAGATCTTTGGTACTCACTGTGTTCACAAAGAGAGTTTCTTAATCCAAGTTTCATGATAGGTACAATGTGACTTGTTTGACCGCACCCATGATAATTTTATATGGTTCTTGTGAACCTTGTTGTCATACAAAATAATTGTGCCCCCACCTATCATTTGACACGGAATGAGATAGCAATATCACAAAAGTTACTAAATCACCATGTAGCACACCAACGCCTTCATTCCTAACACACCTGTGTATTCAAAGACATCTCAGTACCTATTCATGTTACACACCCATCCATTTGATTCATCATTTCTTTTCAGTTCAATGCTGTCACGTTGCGATCCACGGAATGTGCTGACTCACTCCATCTTTTTCAGTTCAATGCTGTCACGTTGCAATTCATGGAATGTGCTGACTCAATCCATCTTTTTAGAATTCTATTTAAAATGTAGACAAATAAAATCCGACTCGGTGGAGTTTCTCACGATAACTGCAATGACATGGCACTTTACAGAACTCATTATCCCTTACAGACATTGTTAGTACTTAGTCAAAAGAACCATGATATTGCAAAAATATTTCATCTATAAAAGAGTGGGCTTTCCTATCATTCACTCACAGGACATCAGGCAAGCATACGCATTCTGGAAAAGCCTAGCCTTGTCACACCAAGGATTCATCAGTTCTTGCAAACAACAGAAAGGTAAGCATTTTTATTGACTTTATTGAATAGTTTGTCTGTGTAATGTTTAAGTATAAGCTTGTGTTGCATGTGCTATCATCAGTTAGTTGCAATGATAATTCTATAACATTCGACATTACCTTGATCGTTTATAGGTAGAGCAAGACAAACATTGTGCCCAATATAAATGTGCATTATACTGAGCTATGAGACTTTTATTGGTTTTCCTCTCTCTACAGATCTTCAAGGGGTGTAACTTAGTCATTGATGAATAGCCAATGGTTGTACACATCGTTGTTTAGAGGTCAGTAACCAGTCATGAGTGATTTGAACAACAACCCCGGTGTTTGTTTGTGATCATTGTCAGCAAACCTTTGGTCTTAAACATAATTTACTACGTCACCAAAGACATTGTGGTAGAGTAGACACTTTATACTCTTGTCCATTGTGTCAGAAGACTTTCAACCGAAAAGATAATTTGAATAGGCATGCCAAATCCTGTCGACAAAAAGTGACCTATCACTATCAATGTTCACATTGTTTTCAAAATGTTCCTGATTATCAAAACCATCACTGCGTACCAAAGAGATCTCCTGCTCATACCTGTCCAACCTGTGATCAATCCTTTCCCACCTCAAAGGCTTTGCGTATGCACAAAAGTCAATCAGGTCATGATATGATAGGACATGGTAAAGGCAGGGCTAAGAAAAAGTCTAAGCCAGCAACAGTGTCTGTAGCACCCCCTGATTCACCTCCTGTTTCCAATGCTCCTCCCGCTTCGCCCCGTCATCCTAGTCAACCCAAAGATCATTCAAAGCCATGTTCTAGTCAGGCTTTACATGGTGATGTTAGAGAGTATGATTTTGAAGGACAAACATCTACTGACGCATTAGAATTTCTAGTCCGAGAACAGAGTAATGTCATTTCAACCCTTGAGTCAGAAATAGGTGAGAAAAAGGCAATTAAATGGGCTTTATGTTTGCACATTAAAATGGAGAAACCAAGCGAAGATACTCATTCAAATTATCACGAGGCCTACTTTAGGAGCAGCATGCAGATAGCCATAGAAGGTAGTGATTTGATAGAACAATATTTGGATGCCATGAGCAAAATGTTGCAAACACTAGACGATTATGAAGGGGTTCATTCAGGATTAAATGTTTCTGACATTGTCCTTTTGAAACTGACTGTGGTGAAGTTCGCTCCATTGAACGGTGGTACTTACATTCCACTTCCTCCAGCCCTGGCTAAACATGCACGCTGTATTTTAAATATTCAAAACAAAGACAATGATTTATGTTTTGCTCTCTCCATTCTTGCCAAATTGTACCCACCCTCGTCAAACAAGGAAAGAGAAACACATTACCTCCCCTATTTGAATAGGCTTAATTTAGAAGGGTTTTCTTTTCCTATGACATTGAAACACATTCCTCGTTTTGAACAGCTTAACCAGTTGAGCATCAATGTGTACGGTTTTGAAGATGGTACCTTGTACCCTATGTACATCAGTAATGAGTCGAACGTGGAGGAAAATAGGTGTGTAGATTTATTGTTATTGTCACAAGAAAGTCAACCAGATGATTTTGAGGGAGTCTTGGGGTTAGAGGATCATGAGGAAGCCATGGACATAGACAAGGTACCCAACACACATTATTGTCTCATTACCAACTTGAACAGATTAGTTAGAAACAGAAAAGGTAACACAAACATGTGTTTTGTTTGTAGAAAATGCTTGTGGTCTTACTCATCTCAGGAAAGGTTGGAAGCTCACAAACACTATTGTTTTAAGAAAGCGCAAAGAGTCATTTTACCTAAACCAGAGGAAGCAGTGTATGAATTCGGTTTAAGATCACAAAGCAAAACTGAAAGAGCCAAGTTTTTGATTGTAGCCGATTTTGAAAGCTTGTTAGTGACTGAAGATGATGATTCTTCATGTTTAAACCGTCATGTCCCATGCGGCTATGCCTACAAGGTGTTGTGTACCGATGAACAGTATTCCAAACCCATTCAAACCTATATAGGTGAAAACGCAGCAGAACATTTCATCAACAGCATTTTGGAAGAATATGATGCCATCATGAGCCTGTTTAATTCTGTCAAACCCATGCAACTCACTAACCAAGATAAAATTGTCATTGCTACTACAGAACATTGTGGGTTGTGTGGAAAGCACTTAGGAACAGACAGAGTATTGGATCATGACCACTTGTCGGGGAAGTTCCGTCAAGTCTTGCATAACAAATGCAATCTTAACTTTCAACTAAGAAAAAAGGTGATTGTGATGTTTCACAATCTAGAACATTATGATGCTCATCTTTTGTTAGAAGTAGCACAACAGTTTGGTGATCGTGAGATCACAGTGATACCTCATACCACTGAGCAATTTCTGTCCTTCACAGTAGACCATAGATTAGTGTTTTTGGATTCCTACAAATTTTTACAAAGTTCTTTGGATGCACTGACACAAAATCTGTTGAAAAAAGGTGCGGATTCTTTTGTATATTTGAAAGAACAATTTCCTCAGCATGTAGATTTGTTAACACGAAAACTACCATTTCCCTATGAACATATGGATTCCTGGGAAACGCTAAGCGAGACATGTTTGCCTTCAAAGGAAGCATTCTACAGTTCATTGACTGAGCAGGGTGTTAGTGAGGATGACTATGCATTTGCCCATCAGTTATGGCAAACATTTCAATGCCAATCCATGAGCGACTTCATGAGATTGTATGTGACAGTAGATGTGTTGCTGTTAACTGATGTTATTGAAACCTTTAGAACTGGTTGTTTAGTTGACTATGGACTTGACATTTGTCACTACTATTCCATGCCTGGTTTCTGTTTGGATGCTGCTATGAAAATCACAGGGGCTAAATTGGACCTATTCACAGATGTAGACACTTACAATTTTATTGAACATTCTATTCGTGGTGGCGTGTCTGTCATTGGTAAAAATATGCAGAAAGCAACAATGAACATATGAGTGATTTTGCTCCAGAGAAAGACACGTCCACTCTACTCTACTTTGATGTGAACTCACTGTATGCTACTGTCATGTTACAACCGCTTCCTATAGGAAATTATCATTTCATTGAACCTGCAGAGTTCACCACCATAGACTGGACAAGCATCGAGGTAGGGGGAGAGTATGGGTACATTCTGGAAGTGGATTTGTTATATCCCAGTCATTTGCACCAAGTTCATGCTGCTTTCCCTATGGCTCCAACGCATGATGATATCCCATTTGACGAGTTATCTCCTACACACAAAGAGCTTCTCGCTCATTTTAACAATCGCCTCATAGATAAACTTCCAAAGAAATCATCCGGTAGAAAACTTTTTTGTACCTTGAAAGATCGTTCACATTATGTGGTTCATTTTAAAACTTTGCAGTTGTATTTGAAACATGGTTTAGTGTTGAATCGCATACACAGAGTGCTGAAGTTTAGCCAGGGTCCATGGTTAAAATCCTATGTGGAACTCAACTTGAAAAATCGCAAAAATGCAAAGGATGATTGTGACAAAGACCGTTACAAATTGATGAACAACTGTGTGTTTGGTCGTTTCTGTATGAATAAACGCAAACACATAAGTGTACACTTAGTGACACACAGACCCAAACTTCAAAAACTGGCCTCAAAAACCAATTTCAAACAGGTTAAAATTTATTCAGAAGACGTGGTTGCTGTTGAATTGGAAAATTTAAGTGTGCATTTAGATCAACCCATTGCTGTCGGTTTTAGCATTTTGGATTTGGCTAAATATGAAATTTATGACTTTTACTACAATGTGATGCAAAAGGAATATGGACATGAACATTTAGATTTGCTCATGACGGACACTGACAGTCTCTTTATGCAGGTCCATGCTCCTCCACATAAACCCCTCCTGGACCCCTATGTGTTTATGAAACAGAATCTCCATTTATTTGACACTTCCAATTATGCTACCAATGACCCAAAGGATCTCTATTCCGATCAAAACAGGAAGGTGACAGGCAAGATGAAGGATGAAGCAGGTGGAAACATCATACTTGAATTCTGTGGACTAAAAAGTAAAATGTATTCCTTCTTGATGAAAACGGATAAGGAAATTATTGAGAAAAAGACAGCCAAAGGTATTAAAAAAACAGTGATCAAGAAATTTCTCAGACATAAGATGTTTAAAGAGTGTCTTTTTGACAAAACAGCTGTGTCATGTTCTTTTCATCTCATTCGCTCTTTTCGAATGTTCTCGTCACGATATGGCTGAAATATTGCCGATGTGACGTTAAATAATAACTCACTCACTCACTCATTCGCTCTTTCAATAACGTCTTGTACACACAGAAACAAAACAAAGTGGCTTTGACCTCTATAGACAACAAGCGTTATGTGCTAGAGGATGGGATTCATAGTGTACCTTATGGTTATTCATCAACTGTATAGTTACTCACTCACTGCATCTGCACGAAATATGGAATTTTACAAGTCCAAACAGGTAAGCTATATGATTATTATGAAAAAAATTTTTTTATTGAAATTTAGAATCGTATTGAAATTTAAAATGTATAGTCATGTCATTATGTTTGTTTTAATACTAGACATGTTTGATTTATTTATTTTCTATTTATTTTACAGGATGAGCAAACCAACCTACATGTGTACAAGCTGCAATGGCTTTCTACCTGTTGACGCAAATGGTGAAGACCAATCAGGTCTCTTTACCTGCGTCTACTGTGGTACGAAATTAAAATATACATACCACAGGTTCCTGACGCATACTAACAAATGTGTGGTCAGGAAGGCAAAACTGAACACAGCTCATGCCTGCACTTGTCGGAAGATTCATCATAATGACTGACTTCTCATCATAATGACTACCAGAAGTCAAACTTGCTCTGGCTGAATGTATCCTATGTTTCACTGCAAGAGCAAAACATGAACACTATGAGAGGCTACTTCAAGACTACAAAGTGAACACTATGTGTGACTGCTTCAAGACTACAAAGTGAACACTATGTGTGACTACTTCAAGACCACAAGGAGAACAAACGTAACAATCACAATTGTGCTCACATTGTTTATTGTCACAAACTATACATAGACTACATAGAGTGTGTGGTTTCAATAAAACGATTCTAGTGTTCCTGATGACCTGAACCCAGGAACACCTTTGGCTGCTTTACGTTTAACAAATAAAACATTTCTATGTATCTGTGTTTTGTCTTTCTTTTTTCTTCCAATACGTTTCATGAAATGTTTGGGCAAATGTAAACGCTTTAATAGTTTAAGAAACTGTTTATAGCCCACTGGTGAACGCCTACTTCGCGGTGACAGGATAAAAAAACGAATCAAGTTGACAATGTTTGAGTTTTGCAGCACATTATTTTTGTTTCCCACAAGTTGTAAATGCTCATCTACACGTAATTGTCCTTTTTTAATGTTGTTTTTCACAAATAACCACATTGACATCAATTTCCCAATGGTTTTGGTAGAAGTAATGTCCTTGATTAACTGGTCGGGAACTTGAAACAGGAGTTCAGTCTTCTTGTTGCATACAGGATTATCAGCGGGTTGTTCCGAGTTAGCTATCCCTTGTGAATCATCATCAACTATCTCATTCACTTTCTGTGGCTGAGCTGTCTGATGAGCTGCCTGATGAGCTGTCTGTTCTTCTTCTTGTTTGGACATCAATCTCTGATAATTCTCTCTCGTCAGAAGAATCATGGGCTTGCTCATTTTGTACTGAGGACAAGTAGGCTTGGTAGTTCCTTATGCAAATAGGTAAAATTGAATGGTAGGCAGCGATGAGCTCACGTTTCCTGTGTCTGCTCACACTCTTACTGGCCAAGATTCGAATGACAGACTTATGACGTGACAGACGGTTTTTATCGTCTTCTGTTAGTGGTATCTTTCCAACAAGGATATTATACACTAGTGTAATCACTGACTTAAACTGTTCAGATGAAGCATGCGTCAGCATAGCTTTTCTCTGTGCAGAATTAGCTTGTTCTAACATCATAAGAAAAGCCCAATGCTTTTGCATCAGACCACTCATGTTGATGTTGTAGGGTGGCTGTTCCACGTTCAAAGACAGCTGACTGTAGAGTGAGTGAAGTGAAGTGAAGTGAAGTGAACTGACTGTTATATAGATAGTTGTCAGGTTTGAAAAAACTATGGTGATTAATATATTCAAAGTTGTATGTGTTCTAACCTTCCTTGTTGGTTTTGGGTTCAGACACCATGTGGATATAAGCACAATGTGGAGATAGTCTAAAATGCTCTGCTAATGGATCATCTTCGGCTATCCATGAATGTACTCTCAGTGCGCATTGGAAACAGTAGACCTTGTCAGATTGACCCGTATAGATAAATCCTGCTTCTGCCATGAGCTTTGGGGGCTGCTTCATTTGTACAGGCCAACTGTTGAAAGACTTCAGTCTGTCACTAAACTTTTGCCCAAACGTAATATTATTGCATGGTATTTCAATACAGTCTGCCACGAGGTTATCAAATGGTCCACACACATCCATGACTCTGTTCAATATGAAAGTGAAAAGGATGAGACGTGGCTGTATATTACCTTAGTTATGTCAAAACGCTCGTGACTCTATATCCGTGGCAGATACACTGTGCACACCTCATCAGAGAATATACCTGTACGCAAACGTCCATACTGTTCATAGGGTGAGGTATCCATGACCAGATAACCATATTTCTTTCTACTTACAGCATCTTGAGAAGATTCGGTGAAATATTTAGCCTGTCCTGGAAATATTTGCGATGCTAAAATTTTATACTCATGTGCCGAACGAGGGTTAGACAATAACACAAAATAATGTGTGTTCAGTGACATAGTTCTGTTACATTCCCCCTTTGGATACGCTGATTGTAGGATGTTGATAACAGAAATTCCTAGATGGTGGGATAATGTGGTATATAGGTGTAAAAACAGCTGACTTTTGCACACTTGTTGCATGAAGTCATCTACTACCAGCAGACAATGTTTATCTGATTCTAGAGAATATGAATTTAACTCCTGTTCTGTGGGGAGGACATCTTGAAAACGAATATTGGGAATGATTGTCTTGAGCTCACTATAGACATCTTGCCACACAGCATAGCAGTAAATAATCAATTTGGGTGCAGGATCAAACATGATATTGGCTTGTCTTAACAGACGTGAAACCCAAAAGGTTTTACCACTTGATGATCCGCCTATCACGGATATGGTTGTAGGCGTTTTAAAAGGTAACAGACAAGCACTTTCATCCATGATGTATCTTGGTCTGCTGTTCAGTATGAAACTGAACTTACTCACAAGCATGGAGGGTATTTATACATAACAAAACATCATTTTGAACTAAATCTATTTTTATTTTTATTTTGTTTGTTTTTGTTTTTTTTGTTTGTTTTTTTATACACATGGTAAAACATTGTACATCATTGTCAATTAAAAACAAGAAGGGGTACAGTATTTGAAATAGTTGCATATATACTGAGATACAAAAGTATCATTCCATAGGAAGTTCCTTATGTCAAACTGATGAACAATACGATGAAAACTCCAGTGAGGTTTCAATGTACATAACAGATAATACAAACAATAGAACCCACACACATTTGAATCTAAAGATTGTATCCGTTTACTGTTGTGCAAGTAAGATTTAACATAGGATTTTAGGTAACTATCAAATACAGCATCAATGGGTTCTGATAGGCTGTCAAACAATTCTGCTCTCTTTCCTTTGAAATACATAGCAACCCAGTGACGTCCTTTCTTTTGACTACAGTCTGTATTTACAATTAGTCCAACTCCCCTTCTTATCATGGAAGATGTGAGTACAGGCAAAGTGTCTTTAGCATACACTCCCAGGACATGACACTGTAAGACAGGGTCACACTGTATGGCACACTTCAATTCAGAAGCTTTCATGTTTACTTGATGTACACATTCCGCGCTTTATCAATTTCTATGATGGAATTTCTTTCACTCATGATAACACAGCTCAATGTCTTAGTCAAAGCAGATTTGAATTCAATTTCAAGTCTCACATTTCCTGATTTCACAAGATTGAGATAATCAGCATCTACTTCATCCAGTTGGTAAACAAAAGAGCACTGCCAAGCAAAAAGTCGTTTCTTGAAATACCATTTCCCTGGTTTTGACACCAAAGTTTTTTACTATCAAACAAGTTGAGATAGGTGTCTACATCATCTGCACTTGTAGCTCTCCCTGGGACACTGACACCATTCACATACAGGTTGACTGTTTTAATCATGCTCGATTGAAAGTTAAAAGGATTCCCATCATATTTCCCATTAAAGCTGCTACTATCTACAAATCCTATGATATATCGATTAGCAATGGGATTTGAGACATTGTCAATGGTATGTGTTAACTGAGAGACAGGAATGCTAGTGACCTTCACCTCAGATTTGATGAAAGGATAGCGGGCATTAGAGTTGTTCTCAAACAAGGTATTGTGAGCTATAATCAGGGCTGGGTTGACATTCAGTCTGCAGACTTTGAGATAAGCATCCAATAGTGTTATAGTGAATTTTTTGTTGGCCACACCGCTCATGAGACAGAAGGTAGGAGAGGATCTGTACAATTTCATAGTCATAGGTACACCATTTATCATGTATCTATCCATCTCAAACACATCTTCAAATAGATTTCCAGACATGGTCATCTCTTGACTCAATGCAATGAACTCTCCTTGTGTCATCAAGCCGGTGTTGCTTCCTGTTTCTGTATCAGTTGATTCTATATCACTGTTCGATCCTCCTACATCTTTGTAGAACAACTGAGAGGTTAACTGTGTAGTCTTTGCATCAGCTCCAAAATTCAGTAATGCTTTCATCATGCTCTTGTAAGCATAATGATTGTTTGTGGAAGAGACCAGCGTGTCATTCAAATAAACTGAGACCTGGCTAAAAAGCGACTGAAGAAACAGGTTGACTGGACCCACGTGTTCACTATCAACCAATGAGCTCCCATCATTGTGGGTGACCTTGAGTTTCACATGCAATTTTGTCCTCTTCAAATCAAGGTAGTCACTACCTGTGTTAGAAATACTGAATTCCAAAGGCGCCTCATCGTTGATTTGACTCACTTGACGTACATTTTCATAGTAATGTTGTTGAATACATGTCTGAAATGGGGGTAGTGTGAATAAATTTAAAGACTCGGGAACAATCTCTTGAAAATTTTTACTGGTGAGCAGCGACATGGTGTTAACTAAAGATATCCTTTTCTTTCACTGGAGTGGACACGAGCTGTCTTGGAAGGGATGTTGCTTGTTGGACGTATCCTCTTGGTTGTGACCACCTGTTCACCTGCAGCTCTTTTTAATGATTTCTGTCTCTTCTCTTTAGCATCTGCTCTTTCCACCACACTTTGAGGTTCAGAAGTCACCTGCAGTTTGACTTGAACTTCTTTTGATGCTTCATCAGGTTGATGAGATGTAATGAGCTTAGGTTGTGGTTTTCCATTCACCAATTGAGAACTACCTGTCATGTGTTTCTTGAAAAATTCTGCCATTTGTTGTAATCGGCACATACAGAGGTAAAGACTCCATATCAATCAGCAAAAGGGTAACGTCTGAAGTGAAGTGTTAGGTGAGTCTCTTCTTTCAAGAATGACAATGGAGTTCCATCACTTGCTTTTATACTAATTTCAATGTCTGGAGATTCTTTCACCATCACATGTATATTGTATTCATTAGCAAATGTAAAGTTAGGCCCCTCCCTCAGGTCTAAACGTCTCAACAATGGTAATTGAGTGTGTCCTACCGATGAACTATCACATAAGTTACACAACACATCTACATAAGGGTCATTCATATGAGTGAGATCTACCTTTCCAAAGTTTAATTCTGTCAAGCTGACTATCCAGAAGCCATCAAACATCAATCTTTGATTCAGTTTCACACGAAAGTGGTAGGGGGTGTTACCCTTGAAGTAATCTTTCTTTGAGTCTGTACACTTCAGAAACACATATTTCTCCATTACAAATTTTTCAATTGACTTTCCTCCACATAAGAATCAAAGGAACTGGGCCAACCTAACCATCGAACCAAAGCATAAGTCTTTCCATTCATACGTTTCTTCTTTAAGATCTTTTCCACCTGCCACTCAATATCCTCTCCTTTATTGACCTTCTGCAATTCACCAGTATAAAAAGTACCTTTGATCATTTCATCATGAA